CCCTGCCACGCCCACCAAGCCACGCCCACAGAACCAGTAGTAAAAAAATTTGAATCCCATCACTGGTTAGGGGGGAGAAAGGTCAGTCTGAGAGATTGCTGCAAATCTCATCTGCTTATTTTAAGAAGCCTAATGAAGTGGACGGAGAGGCACCATAGCGCTTTGACTTCAAAAAGAGGGAGACATCAGGTTGGATGAACTAAAATGGGTCCCCAACCCCCAGTCCGTGAACCGGTACCAGTCTATGGCCTGTTAGAAAACGCAGAAGTGGCAGGCGAGCAAGCAAAGCTTCATCTGCGTATGTATGGGAGCTACGTTGCGTGTGAAACCATTCCCTCTCCCCGCTCCTGGTCTGTGGGAAACAATTTTTCTTCAGGAACTGTTCTCTGGTGCCAGAAAGGTTGGGGATCCCTAAACTAGAAGACCTCCAAGCAGGGGGAGGATTCAAATTTTTTAACATCCGGTTCTGCGGGCGTGGCTAGGTGGGTGTGGCCATGTGACTGAGTGGGCGTGGTTTCTTTTTCTTTTCTTTTTTTGCAGCAACCCCCCCCCCCCCCCGGTTTTTTTTGCCTCCTGGGCCTCAGGGAAGCCTCCTGGGGGAGGCGTTTTTGCTCCCAGAAGGCTTCGTTGGGGCCCAGGAAGGCAAAAAACAGAACACACAGGTTGGGGGGGGGATGCACAGCACCTTCCCCTGCACCCTCCCTGCATGCCCCTTTTTGCCTCCTGGGCCTCCGGGAAGCATCCTGGGCGAAGCAGTAAGAGCGAGGGGGATCCTGGCACAGATGATCATCGGAACAGCTGTTCGTTGGGAAGGGGGAAAAAATACCTTAAGGAGTGAGGACGCAGTTGTGATGTTGGGCATGCACAATAAGGACTGACTGGGTGGGAAGGGGAGGGGCGGGCAGAGAGGGGCGGGGCCAGCCAAGGGCACAATTTGCTGGTTCTCTGAACTGCGCTGAGTAAGGCTGCAAGGTAATGGCCCCGCCTTCAAGAAGATAAAAGCCAGCTGTGAATGGGACTTTCTTTGCAGGAAGCAAAGACGTTTTGAAACTCGAGCCTCATGGATATTGTAGTATCTTAGTTGGTATTTGAAGACTCTTGTGTTGTAAAATATTTCTAAGTAACCTTATCTGTTATTTTTGGCAGCCTCACACAGTTTTGGCGAGGCTCATGCTTATCAAAGTTAATTAGTTTGCAGCAGCCTTTTAACTGGGGATTCGTAAGAATCATTAAAAGGTTTCTGTTCCCTTTGGTTCGTATTTGTTTTATTGGACAAGGGTTTGGGTCAGAACACAAGCTAAGAGCATGCATGAAGAGTACAGTGAAGAAATGGGACTAAAATAAAATATAAAGAAGACCAAACTAATGACAACAAGTAGAACAACCAAGCTTAGAATTCACACTGAATATACCAAAGTGCTGGAGAGCTTCTACCTTTCAGAATCAACCATAAATATTAAAGGAACAAGCAGTCAAGAAATACTGTACGCTACAGACGAGCACTTAGTAGAGCAGCTATGAAGGTCTTGGAAACGATATTCAAATATCATGATGTATCTATACCTACAAAGATCAGAATCGTTTATCCTACGATATTCCCTGTGACGGTCCATGGAAGCAAAAGTTGGACTTCGAAGAAGTAGGGTAGGAAGAGTATTGACACTTTGAAACTTTGATGTTGGAGAATTGAGGTCAACATTTCCATTGCTAATTGTTAACTGAGTTTTGCCCCATTTTGCGACTTTTCTTGCCACAGTTGTTAAGTGAAGCACTGCAGTTGTTAAGTTACTAACATGGTTGCTAAATGAGGCTAGTTTACCCACTGACTTTGCTTGTCAGAAAGTTGCAAACGATGATCACATGATCCCAGGACACTGCGAGTGTCATCAATATGAGACAGTTGCCAAGCATTTGAATTTTGATCCCGTGACCATGGAATGCTGAAATGATCATAAGTGTGAAGAATGGTCATAAGTCACTTTTTTCAGTGCCATTTTAAATTTGAACAATCACTAAACAAGCTGTTTAAGTCAAGGACTACCTGTATTGCCCTCTCTCTCTCTCTCTCTCTCTCTCTCTCTCTCTCTCTGTGTGTATTTTAGTTCTTACGTAGTACTTGTTATATGCTATGCTAAATTGGATTATGGTACATACAATGACCTCATTTTATCCAAGCAAAATAGTTACTTGAATTATCTTGATTTAGATTTCTGTGGATGGAAAATTAGCCGAAGTACATCTGATTATTACAAAGATGTATGTTCTTTTTAGATTAGCATCAGTTGCTTTCCTGTCAGTTGTGGCAAGCATACATGAACATTTCACATAAGCAGAAACATAAAAAGGAATCACTTAAATTTGTAACAAAACCACTGCAATACTGCCCTTCAGGACATGTGAAAGCATAATTTTATTTGGAAAGCAAGATAAAGCTTAGGGTGTAGCCACAATAATTCAAACCAATTAAAGATACAAAAACAGATGCAATTTATTTAACTGATTTCTCCTACAGCTACAATGTGCAATTTATTTCCAACTGATATGAGAGTATTTTTTGTTTGTTTGTGAGAGATATACATGTGTGCCCAGAACCTGCCAACTCACTTCCTCTACATATTGTATCTGTCCTTGCATCTGTCTTTACACAAAGGGAAAAAACAGTCCAACCCATCAAAAACAGCACCACAAAAAACAGATCAGGAACACAAGTTAAAATAGGGAAGAAAATGGTAAGTGAACACCTGTCTACCCTAGATGAGTTCAAATCACCAGGACCAGATGGATGACACCCAATTGTGGTATTCTACCGGTTCGGCCTGGTTCGGCTCAGTTCGAGTGAACCGGTAGTTAAAAAAAAAAAAAAAAAAGCTACTGGTTCAGCTGAATGGGTATTTATTTATTTTTTCCTCCTGACAATCAATTGTTCTGATGATCAGCTGTGCCAGGATCCCCCTTGCTGTCTTACTGCTTCACCCAGGGGGCTTCCCTGAGGGCCAGGAGGCAAAAAAGATTGTGTGGGGGAGGTTGCTATTTGAGCGCTCCCGTGCTCAGTTTTTTGCCAACTGGTCCTGGGAGCAAAAACTCACCTGGCATGATGCATGAGGCCCAGGAGACACACACACAAAAAAGAGCACGGGGGGGGGTGCTGCAAAAAAAAAAGCCACGCCCACCGTCACATGGCCACGCCCAGCTAGCCAAGCCCAGCTAACCACGCCCACAGAACCAGTAATGAAAATATTTGCATCCCACCCCTGATTACACCCAAGGTTCTGAAGGAACTGGCAGACGAGGTCTCAGAACCACTGAACTATATCTTTCAAAGATCCGGGAGCACCGGGGAACTGCCAGAGGACTGGCAGCTAATGTAGTTCCCAAAAGGAGAAAAAAATAGATTCCTGAAACGACAGACCTATCAGCCTGACCTCAATACTAGAGAAGATTCTGGAAAAGATAATCAAGCAATGAATCAGCAAGCACCTAGAAGCAAACAAAGTAATAACCAAAAGCCAATATGGATTTGTCAAAAACAGATCATGCCAGGCTGATCTTATTGCATTCTTTGACAAAGTGACAAAATTAGTGGACCAGAAGAATGTCGTTGATATATTTACTTGAACTTCAGTAAGGCATTTGATAAAGTAGACCAGAGGTGGTATTCAGCAGGTTCTGACCAGTTCTGGAGAACTAGTAGTGGAAATTTTGAGTAGTGCAGAGACCCGGCAAATATCACCTCTGACTGGAGATTTTACAGTATCCTTCCCTTGCCACACCCACCAAGCCATGCCTACAGAACTGGTAGTAAAATTTTTTGAATCCCACCACTGAAGTAGATCATAACCTACTACTTGATAAAATAGAAAAATGTGGGTTAGACAGCATCACCACCCGATGGGTTTGTAACTAGCTGACCAACCGCACTCAACGTGTAGTCCTCAATGGAATTGCATCTACATGGAGGGGAGTATGCAGTGGGGTACCCCAAAGCTCTGTTTTAGGCCCAGTACTCCTCAACGTCTTCACCAATGATTTGGATGAGGGGATAGATGGGGAACTCATCAAATTTGCAAACAGCACCAAACTAGCAGGAATAACCAACACTCCAGATGATAGGCTTAAGATACAGAATGATCTTGACAGGCTTGGACATTGGGCACTTGCTAACAAAATGAAATTCAGTGATGAAAAACATGTCTACATCTAGGCAAGAAAAACAAAATGCACAGGTACAGCATACGTGCTACCTTGCTCAACAGTAGTAACTGTGAGAGGGATCTTGGTAGTCCTAGTGGACGACCATTTAAATATGAGCCAGCAGTGTGCAGCAGCTGCCAAAAAAGCCAACAGTCCTATGCTGCATAAACAGAGGGATAGAATCAAGTTCACATGAAGTGTTAATTCCACTTCATAATGCCTGGGCGTTGTCTCCGAAGAAGCTAGGCTCCCGTCAGCAAGGAGCAGCAGTGTGTCCTACTCCCCGCAAGCCACTAGGATCACTTCTTGCCTGCCGACCACTGGAGGATCATGGAGGAGGAACCGGCTTCCTTGCTCAAGCCCAGCTGCCCGTAGCTGTCCCCAACAGAAGAGCATGGCATGTTTGGATCCTTGGTTTCTGGCTCCTTCACCCCAAGATTTCTCCCAGCGCTGAGTTCAGTCTTCCTTCCCACTGGGTATCACCATGAGGCGGCTCAGCTTTGATGGAGAGGCAGCCCCTGGCCCTTTGTGAAGCTGCCATACACCTGAAACCCAGCATGGCAAATGTCCCCAAATCCCTTTCTTTGCCACTCAGATATATGGATAACATATGTCTGCTCTTTCACTACTAAATCAGAGATGAGAAGGTCACACACACACACACACACACACACACACATTGTATTTAGCAACAACAACCTGAGGTAAGGCTTCTTTCTTTAGGGTTCAATTTTTTTATTACTTTATCAAACTATAAAATACAGAAATACAAAGAAAAATGAAAATAATGGGAAAATGGGGGTGGGGAGAGGAAAAGAAAAAAAAGTGTAGGGGAAAGGGGAAAAGAAATAGAAAAGGCATTGGCGTCCGACTGGTGCAGTAGCATAAGATAATAACATATAACCTCAACTGCTTGCTTTTACATCATTAAAAAGAACATATTAACTCAATCTAATTACGTGGTTAATTAGATAAAGCAGCATATTTTCAAAGTACTACAGGATCGCTTTATTTCTTAATGAAGCAAGAAAATCACTGAACAGTCATCTAACCAAAATCCCTTGTGACAATCTTGTTTTCCCATCTGAGGTCAAAAGAAGGCTACCGCTTCCAAGGTGGCATCTTATTCAAGCTCCTGTTTCAGACTCTGGGCACAAATCTGCCAAAGCCACGATTGTGGCTGATCGCTTGAAGAAGCTTCTCTTTCAGTTTTTGTTTTGTTGAGTAAACTGGCAGAAATAAAAGATGAAAACAGATGCCAGCCCCAGGGATAAGATCCTCTGAGGGCAAGTAATGTGGATAAATCTTCCAAGGTTCCATTCCTGTCACAGGGATCCTGTCATTTCCTGCCAAAAACACTAGAAGTATGAGAAATCATCAGTTAGACACAGAATATGAGGGGGACCACAGACAGATCTAAGAACATGAGATTCTTTGACTATAGGATAATATTGCCCCCCAAAAGATGATATGCTGGCATCCAGAGGCCTTACCTGGCACGATGCCGGCCAAACTGGAGCTTCTGAGGGGCAGATCCACCCCTCAGAAGCTCCATCCAGAGGTCTCGCCTGGCATGATGATGGCCAAAATTTATTTTTTATTTATTTTATTTATTTTAATTTGTCAATCGCTTACAAGATAATAGATATAAGTATATACATAGTTATGAATACATGAAATTGGGTACATATAAGAAAAATAAAAGAAACAATAGGACAGGGACGGTAGGCACGCTGGTGCGCTTATGCACGACCCCTACAGACCTCTTAGGAAAGGGGTGAGGTCAATAGTAGACAGGTTAAAGTTTTTGGGGTTTGTGGAAGAAACCACAGAGTCAGGTAGAGTATTCCAGGCATTGACCACTCTGTTGCTGAAGTCATATTTCCTGCAATCAAGTTTGGTGTGGTTAACCTTGAGTTTGTATCTATTGTGTGCTCTTGTGTTGTTATGGTTGAAGCTGAAGTATTCATTGACAGGTAAGTCATTGCAATGTATGATTTTATATACCATACTAAGATCAGCCCAAAGACGGTGTAATTCAAGGTTTTCTAGGTCTAGAATTTCAAGTCTGATGGCATAAGGTATTCTACAATGAGTAGAGGAGTGGAGAACTCTTCTTGTGAAATATTTCTGGACTTTCTCAACTGTGCTAATATCAGATATGTAATGTGAGTTCCAGACTCATGAGCTGTATTCGAGTATTGGTCTAGCAAATGTTTTGTATGCTCTAGTCATTAGTGTAATATTACCAGAGAAAAAGCTACATAGGATTGGGATAACAACTCTTAATGCCTTTTTGGCTATGTAGTTACAGTGGGCTCTAGATCATTAGAGATGAGTACTCCAAGGTCCTTTACAGAGCTTGGATCATCAACAAGGTCTTGACTATTCAGCTTGTATTTTATTTTCTGATTTTTTTGCCAGTATGTAAGACAGAGCATTTATTTGTTGAGATTTGAAGTTGCCATTTGTTTAACCATTCTGATACATAGTCAAGATCTTTTTGAAGGGTAGCAGTATTGTCTGTGGTATTGAACAGCTTTACATCATCAGCAAAGAGAAGAGAAGGGATGCTTTGGGTGGTCTTAGGCAGATGGCCTGTTCCATCACTAGCCCCCTCCCATGGCCTTCCCCACCCTGAAATACCTCATGTGTGCTTAATGAGCCTTGCATTGGATTAAGAAATGCATGGGTGAAAGAAGGGAGTGATCCCGTTCAAGGTACGAGATTCACTCCTAAAAATCCTTCGGTTACGAATGGAATGGACAGGTAGCCCCCAACTTAGGATCACAATTGAGCCGAAAATATATGTTGTTAAGTGAGAAATTTGATAAGTGAGTTTTGCGCCATTTTACAACTTTCCTTGCCACATTTGTTAAGTGAATCTCTGCAGTTGTTAAATGAGTAACACAGTTGTTAATTGAATCTGGTTTCCCACACCAACTGTGCTTATCGGGATACTGCGACTGTCATAAATATGAAGCCATTGTCAAGCATCCAATTGTAAATCCCATGACCGTGGGGATGCTGCAACGATCATAAGTGTGAAAATTGGTCATGAGTCACTTTGTTCAATGTCATAACTTTGAACCGTGACTAAACAAACTGTTGTAAGTCAAGGACTACCTGTATAGAGTTGCTTCTCAATTATCATTTCAATTCCTTGACTATCTGCATTAAAAGAAGCTTTTGGAGAGATATGAATGCCTTCTGCTGACATTCAGAACAGCTCATAACACAGAAAGAAATTCACCTTCAAGATCTTTAGAAAAACAGTGACGTACTTGCATTTAGATACTTACCCAGAAAATGTTTTTTATCCTCCAAACTCAGCTCATGGAAAACTTCCCAGAACATCTTTATAGTTGGGTGCGTTGGGCTGTATATACCCGAATACACAGCATTCTTCAATGCAGGAATAATAAACAATGGGGGGAAAATCAAGAAACAATAAGAATAAACAATAAGCTATATAATAAACAATAAACTATATAAGACACTCAAAAGTCACTTGAACAGTGAGATGGGAAGCAAAAGAAAAGTGAAGAATGTATGGAAGGAAGGAAAGAAGAAGAAAAAGAGAAAGAGAAGAAAAAGAAAAGAGAAAGAAAGAGGCTTTAGTAACTTTATCTGCAACCATGCTTCAAACTCCTAAATGTCATCCAAGCAATTCTATCATCCACTTATTTGATAAGCTAGGAGAGTTGTGACGGAGAAAAATTAATTCCATTTACCAAACCCTACCCATGCCAATTGAAAATTATGCTGTAGCTAATGGCATAGTTCCATTCCTCCAATCATGATCTGCTCATAAGGGTCCTTCTCATAAAAAACATCTCTCCATCCACTTACCTTTTCGCACAAATCCCAGTCATACTTGGCATTTCCAATTGCCACTTCCATCAGTTGTTCAGGCTCAAAGATGCCAACTAGCTGTTCATCCAGGCCTTTGTAAAATCCTCTCTTGAACTCACTGAAAACATCATCCACTGATTTGTTGAATATGTAATCCACATATTTGTCAACAAAGTCTTTCCTTTAAAAAGTAGAAAATAAGCCGATTTTTTTTTCAAGAAGGTCAAATTCTTGGCCTTTAAATAAATTTATCAGGGTTCAGAATCAGATCTCTTTTGGGGAAATTCGGTTAGCATTGCTCATAAATCTAAAACTATGTTTACATTTATTTGTTAATGTAATAAATTATTATTATTATTATTATTATTATTATTATTATTATTATTATTAT